CTGATAAGAAGTCTCTTGACATACAAACAGACCTTTACCCAAACAATAATAATGTAATTTTTTATTATATTATTATAAACTAGCTGTTCAGTGTTCACGACTTAATCCGCGTATGATGTAGCTTCCCGAAATTAAAGAATATTTAAAATCGGGCCCGGAGTTTCGGAGCTTATTCAATGCAACACTTTAGACTCTAAAGTTTAGAGTATAAAACCAAATAATCAAATCTTTCCATGTTATAATATTATTTATATTATATAAAAAATGCGGTAATAATCATCCGGGTTGTTATTTAAAACATTGGGTTTGGTTACGTGAACGTGATAGGTATGTGTATCGTATTTCAGTAGATATAGCTAAACTCCAGCCTTAGTAGAACTAATGAAGTAAGTTGACTTCATACATACGCGCCGAAACAGTGAACGCATATGCGGTAGTATAAAGGCACAGAGTGTCAAGAGCAGATTATTATATTGTCACAACTTACGAAAGGGAACAAGACCAAATTTCAAACTTGCTCGCTTGAGATTGCGATCCTTGAGGTCCCAAGTTCGATTCTCAGTTAAGTCAATGTAGAAAATAAGTTTTTCTAAACGGTTATGGGTTTGAGGATTGATTTCCAATCTAAGCAATGTATGTGATGATGTATAACATCTATATATATTGTTAATGTAAAATGCTTAAAAAGCCCTAAAAATACACCGAGGACTCGTACCCACAACCTCTTGCAATCCGGGCAACTGCTATAAGCATTGAGCTACCCGTGACCCAACAGGACTGACCAATTCTTCAAGCATCTGTTACTTTTCGCTACTAGTGAGCGTATTTTCATTAATGTTCCAGGCAGTCCATCCAAACAGCCGAAAGGAATATTCTTACAAATAATGGTTATATTTGATCGATACGGGTGTAGACAGTAAACGAAAATAAATGCAAAATGCATACATTAATTATGAAAAAACAATTATTTTATGCTCGGTGTCACGTGACCGCAAACAGCACGTGACGTCACGACCCTCTTACTCATATCAGGGGGGCAATTCTACTAAATAAATTTTGTTTAAATCGAATCGAAACCGAGCGAAACTACAGAAAGAATAGTCCAGCTAAAATAGAACTGTATCGTATGTCACTTTGTAGTATAGGAAAACCATTAAAAACTGTAGTTTCATTCGGTTTCGATCCGTTTTCGACTCGATTTAAACAAAATTTATTTAGTAGAATTGGCCCCCAGAACTTGATTAAACCTTATGCATACACATAACGATATTCGTGCCGTATCATCGTAGCGACGAAATAACAGAAGTGGCATTTTAGTGGGAAATTTAAAAATTCATTTTTTTTAGATTTTAACTTATTATATGTATGATATTTTTATAATACTTTTTTTAGATATATTTCATATATACATATAAAATAAAAAAATGTCGGTATAGCATTGGAAATTCAAAACTGAACAAATATAATAATTTATTTATATTTCTCTATCTACAACGGCCTCGAGTCCGAGTCATCATGCATCGCGTGTTGATTACATTTATCGAATCAATTATGAAACAGAATACCTATCCGCCCGTGTAGAGAGTTGCCGCATTAGTCTGATTCGGACACCTGATAAGTTTATTAATCTGATCTCAGTGGAATATGAGCTAATAAAATTATCTAAATATATATGAAAAAAAATATGTTATCATAATGATAACCGCAGTAAAACATAAAACGGGCACATACGGGTCAAATTCTTTTAAGTTTGTTAATATACCAAAACCATTTTAAGTGTCACAAATAGTTTTCTAATGAAATAAAAACTTAAAAAAAAAACAGAAGACGGAGGTCTTCTGTAGGTTATTAATTAAATGATAGGCGCTTGAATTCAATAGTCTTTTCTTGAATAAATCGCTTTTTAACCGACTTTAAAATTGAAAAGGCGGAGGTTATATGTTCGACGGCGATGTATGTGTTTTTATCTATGCTCACCGATATTTTATAAAAATACTTATATAAAAAAATAACATACTCGTTGAACATAGAAAATCCTCCTTTCGAATTTTGAATGAATGCAAAATACGCAATCTTTTGTTTTTAGCTTAATAAACATATCATCTAAATATTTAGGTGATATCTGATGAATAGCGTATTTTCTTTTGTTATAAAAGGAAAACTACTTATTCGATTTTGATAAAATTTATATGACCACCTCGGTCCATTGGACCACATATAAATTTATCACACTATATTATATAATTAATCACACATAGCTATTGAATTAAAATTTTTGAAAATCGGTCAAAGATTGTTGGAAAGTATAGATGAACATAAATTAAATTTAAACAAAAAAAAACATTTGAAGTCAAGCGAACGCGTCTTCAAGAGTGCATGCGTATTTGAATGGGAACGTAAGCGGAGGCGTAAAGGGGCTTAAGTGTTCACATTCTGACTATATAATAGGTAAACCCATTGGGACTGCTCGGAATAACCGTGACATATGATACGATGACCTTTGACATAGACGTTTAGAAACAATTAACGTAATTAAAAGCGTAAATTATGTGTGTGTATGAAGTTATTTAATTTTATCGCTACAAACATATGTTCAGCATAATTTATAATTATCATCCGATGCACTTTGCACTTAAATTATTGCAATGGAAATGTACACATGGCTACACAATATGTTAAATTTGCTCAAATAATTTTGGACTCTACACACAACGCATTAAGGTTTAAAATCAAGTGGATAAGTTTGACAGTTCTGTATTGCTAGACGCGCTGTACTTAAGTGTCTTTATAAGATAAAGCCTATATGCACTGTTAGGGCGCTTGTGCACTACACTGAATTTTCAGGTCCGGCGGTCTGATTTTTTCCTGTCCGAAATGTCAGGCCATATGTAGGTAATACTAGCACTGTCAGGAATTTTACCGTCCGGAATTTTACTTTTCTCTATTCCGGACCGGTTTTTTCAGGTCGTGATGGCGGCAATGAAAAACGCGTTTACGCTTGTGCACTGCTGTGTCCGCGTTCCGTAAAATTCATGAGCCTGCGCAGTAGGCTTGGGAAAAAATAATCGATTTATGAATAATTAATATTTATTTCGGCGATATTGTTAATTTTTGATATACTGATAATCGATATTTAGTGTTTATTATAAAATGCGATATTTTATATGGTGATTTAATATAGTTGGTAGATATTACTGCATATGCCCTGGCAAACTCAATATAGTTCTAATTTGATCATTGTATGGTTCTAGTATCTTTACTTTACTAGATTCTAGAATCGTATTAAAATTATCGATAACTTAAGGTAAGGCAAATAAGTGTTGTTATGCTTAGACGCTTAAACAACTGAGCCCATCTTAATAGAAATTAGTATAGGAATAGACTTAAGCTTGAGAAAGGACATTAATTGCGAAAAAGAGGTGGAAATAAGGGATGAAAGTCTGCATGGAATTTTTTAATATCAAATTTGCTTTGAGGCAATTGATAAGTAAATATATATTTGATAACAGAAGTATTCTAAAAGAAAAAGAATTATGTTCTAAGAAACTATACCACGCGTATAAAATTAATATATTTAGTAGAGATACCTATATATAATACAGTCAACTGATCTTACAATGATTATAGTTAAATCATGACATTTAAAACTTACAATAGGATGGCTGAATTAAACGCCATCGTAAAGTTCATATATTTTACATGTTAATTCTCCGCTTACACGGCACTAATTTCGATTTGTTTACGAAATGGCGTCAACAATTGGTCTATCTCAGTAATCGCTTGAAGTTGTTTTTACAAAACTTCGAAAAAAAAATAACACGATTATAAATATAAACATCAAGTACTAGAACATTATAAGTAATTTTATTCTAATGTCATAGATATATTTAGCAATTGTATGTGAATAATGCTGTTCCTTAAATTAGTATTTTTACAACTGATAGTAGTCATCCGACAATAGTAAAAAAAATGCTTTCGTCTTGCCTCAATTTATTATGTTTTATGTAAAATGATTCTTAATATTTATTCTGTCTTCTACGTCTTCGCACGTAGAGTAACAAAGCAAGCAGTTACCGACGTTCCAAAAGTATCATCCTACCTCACGTAAGTGACGTGTAACTTCAAAGAGAGCTGCCCTAAACTGCACCGCTCCGATCAGGAAAAAACGGAAAAGTGCACAAGCCACTCATCCGGGTTTTCATTGTCGTTCCGGACCGGAAAAAATCGGACCGCCGGACCTGAAAATTCAGTGTAATGCACAAGCGCTCTTACTCAAACTAATTTCGGCGCTTATTGCAAACTGTAAATAAAATGTTTCCTCTAATATTAGCATACATTCGTAACTGCATTGTTCCATATATTTGTTTACCTCCTAAATAGGCTTCATCCTTTATCCTAATAGGCGTAGATGCAGGGGCACTTATCCCGGGCGTCAGTGTCAGGGGGGCGCCAAAATCATGATAATACAATACAGTAAATTAAAAGACAGGCTACGATGGGACGAAAATCCAAAATCCTTAAATGAATATTAAGTTCGTGCGGGGTAAGGGCGCAATATCAACTCTGCCCCGTTTGGAAAAGAGTTGTAGATTCCGGCCTGCATAGATGATTCATATGTGTAGCAATAGGGCTCGTGGGTGGATATTAGTTAATTAAAGTATCAATTAAAATCAACTTACACACGTGCTGTTGATTAGTGCAATAGTAGCCGTTTTCCCGTGACCTGTCCGCGTTAAATAGCCTATGTCAATGTCAGCTGCCCCTGTGAGAAATACCGACCCAGTAGTTTCGGAGTTCTGGTTAATACAAATGAACAATCAAATCTTCCCTCTTTAAAATATTAATAAAGACAGCAGCTGTTTCAACATTCATTTTAAAATTTTCTTGTATATTAGAAATTATTTATTTTATAATCAAAGTAAAAAAAAGAATAAATCAAAGTTTTGATTCAACCACTAAGGAATAAGTTTATTTAAAAAATCAAAGATAAATTCAGTTTTCACTCAATATTCTTTTATTTTTATTATGACTTGTATTATAGATTGAATAAAAACATATTAATTGTTGTTCTTGTACTCATATTAGGAGGACATTGTTTTCCGTATGCATAATTTATATTGCATATTTTTGTAAATTATTCTACATGATATATGGACACAAAATTATAATATTAACCTGTCTCAAGTAATATTGTCGCAGATTAGAATCAAGATTTATACTAACATAAGTTAAACTGTGATAGCACATTAAGTACTTGTGATATTAATACATTAAATATTTCGTTAATTAAAAATAATATAAGATCACAACTCTGAGTATTATGCAAAATTGTATCGGTTGTACTGTAATAATAAGAATTGAAAACACATCCAGCAACAAAACAAGTAGCTCCTATAAAATTAAGCAAAGGAATGCTTTTTCATCAATTAGGAGGTTAAAATATTATGTCTGTTCTACCAATGCAATTTTTTTTTCATATGAGTAGGCAATGATTCAAGTTAGGGTTGAGGTACATTGACAGCATCACTATTTGCTAAAGCAAGAAAGATAGCGTGTGTGCAATAGCTAACTTTCTCAGTCTAGTAAAGGGTGGTTTAAAGTAAACAAAATAGGGCACCGCAAAAAGGCGAAAACCTGCTGCCAAGTGTAACTCAACACTCATTGCATCCAATTTTAATAATACCTTATTTATATATTTTTATTGTTTCATACAAGTTTCGTTTGTAAGGGAAACTAAAATGGTGTATCAATAGGACAGCCATACGAAAATCTTCCAATCCTTTCTTAGTTAAAATGATGACATAGATTCCTTTAGAAATAATGGATGAGTTTGGACTTCACTACACAATTACCAGTCTTAACATCTTCTTAAACTTTAGTATAAAAAAAAAGTGTAATAGAAATTTGGTCTGCAAATAATCATTATCACAAAACAAAATTTTGCACAATCTTTGGCCCCATATCAGACCTATTCAATATTACAATCTAATACTAAATCTTTACCTGTCCAAACTCACCCACACAGAGAAAAATCCTATAACAATCACTGAGAAATATTCACCCTGTGTTTAATTAGAATTACATGTCTTATAAGTTCATATTACAAACTATTTTATTTTGCTCATAAAATGTAGTTGGTTTTTGATACAAACAAGATTCTCTCAGTTCTATTGAATACTGATATATATAATTCAACACTGCAGACTTGCTGTTTTTTCTTTTTCTTCTATAGAATAGAAAAAGATGATAAACAAGCGGAAGCCTTTAAATATTTAAAGAAGTATCATGTGACACAAAAATTTGTATAAACTAACCCTTTGATTCTAGGCTAAGATTTCAATGTTTATAAACTGCATACATTGCCGCTCTCATTTCCAGTCGGCTAATGCATGCAGACTATAGTGTGAAACACTTAATATCTAATAAGAACATTTAAAGTTCTCTATTTTTTAATGATTATGCACCAGTTTATAATATTTGTTTTATATCTTTTACTTCTTTATGTAATGGAACACAATATTGTTTAATGAAAATATATAAGGCAAGAATCAAGTTCATCATATTTTGTATCACATAATATCCTCATGCTAGTGTGACATTATTTATAGACAAGAAGTTATTTTTGATTAATTTTTCCACATCTGATGTTGCAGTATTATCGTTTTATGCAAATGATGATGGAATATGGGTGTAGTATGAGTTTTCACTTTAGTATTGAAAGCGGTACAAGCAACTATCAAAAATTATGCATTTCTTACAGATTTTTGAAGTGCTCACTGTTATAATTTAATGTCAAAATAAAACTCATAGTAACCACCCTGCTCCTGATGTGGGCTGAATATGTGGCATCAGAAAAATATTTAACACAACCATATTTCAAATGATATTAATTGAATCAGCAAATCTGTATGTTACAAACATACATTGTGTAAATACTATAAGGGAATACTTTAGAGGTACCATATATAAATTTGAACTTGGATTTGTAACAGGTACCCAAATTCAAATTGAATCAACATTTCTCATAATTACAAATTAGCTTTCCAAAATTTTGAGAGTAACACTCAAAAGTATGATATAATTATTCAACAAAACAAGTGAAAAATTACTTATTAAACAACCATAGCACATCCCTAGAATTATTAATATCTAGGGAACATTATTGTACTCCTTCTTTATGGCATACAAACAACAGTAATGGAGACTATAACAAAATTAAATACAAAAAGTATATTGTACATCTTTCTAAAACAAAAGTGTCAAGTTTTGTTCATTTCAAAATTATAAATAGGCATTAAAATATAAAACTTATTATAAGAATCACATACGCACCTTTCGGCAGCATCACACAAGCATAATATATTAATTAACTCACAAATTAAAGTTTTCGAGTATGGGAAGGTTTCAGTTCATGAGCACGGCCACCCCAATCTAGTCTGTAGCAACGAGTCCGCCACGATATCTCTGGGTTAAGAAGAGCTGCCGCTAAGACAAATGGAGCACAGCATTCACTCCAAGCCCACCCAACAAGGAATTGCACTTTTGTGAAGGGGGGTGATCCATTTTGAACAGACCGTAGTATTAACCAGTCAGATAAAAACCACACTAATACATGCACCAGGAAAAACGGTAAGGGCTCAGCGCCAAATAACTGTCCTGCAGCCCACGCCGCGCCCGCTCCGAGCGGGAGACACTCGCTTAGCGGCTCCAACAAGGCTGTCGTTGGTACCATTGCAATACGAAGTCTAGCCCAACGTTTTAACCGCGCCTGTAGCGCTCCTACTGAGCGCGATCCGGAGTTTTGAAGCGCAGGCAGCGACGCTACACGCATTTTCCAGCCACGCGCCAACACCTCTTTCGCCATGAAGAAGTCTTCCGCCAGATAATCTGCGAAGGCAGCTAGACCGCCTGCTTCTTCGAGTGCACAGCGGCGCACCAGTGACGACATTCCAACATGACAGTTGATGCCGAGAAAGTCTGCACCCAAGTACATTCGCGCTTGAGCCGTTCCGAAGTACACCTTCTCGTAGACAGCAGCGAAGCCTTCCGCGTCACACACGAATGGCATTTGGTGTACTATCGCGACATCCTCACGCATGTGCTGCACCATATCCAGCAGCGAATCTTCTCGCATCCGGATGCCGGCGTCGCTCACTAAGATCAACGGGTATTTTGCAGCCATATATGCTGGATGCATGTTGTTGATCTTTGGATTAACTCCGACCCGAATACCTCCTATGAATAACCGTGCATCTACATTTGGATACTTTGGTAAAAGACTATGCTTCACCAACATTACAGCAGGATCTTTTTCGTGTTCCACACAGAATAATATCTCATACGTCGGATAGTCGAGGCTAAAGAAGGTCTCCAAGTTTGAGAGTAAGTTAGGGTCAACACCGGTTAATGGTTTCAAAATTGAGACGCCTGGATAGGCCTGTTCTGGTGGTGATCGGTCCACTGTTCTGTGTAGTTTCCATTTCGAATACGAAAATGCCATTATATGAATTAACCATAGGCAAACCCATGCGATCATAAAAAATATGGCAAAACCATACACCGTATACACCATAGGCATCATAATGGCAAAATTTTCGATTCGTTCTCTCTTTCGGACCTCATAATATCGACTGATCGTGGATGAAAAAGGCGTCCGATAAACTCCACTCTGACAAGACTTATCACTGAATTTATTAGTGAGTCACATGATCTAGTTGAGCACAATTTAGCATACTGTTACTATTTAAATTACATTATTAATTGTCGCCATTATCATTACGAAACATATCGAAAGCATAAACTCAGAAAAAAAATTACTAAACTGCAGAACCTTCCAGCGGCACCTTTAACAGTTTTGTTTTTTCAATGTGATGTTGTCTTCTACGGCTTTGAGTTCATGTTCTTTTAGTTAGGCGATGTTGCCAGATATTAGTGTCATAACGTGATTTGTTTTGCAGTCACTCATGAAACATATATTTTTACTATAAGCTTCTTGAATAGAATAAAGAAATATTGGTATATGAAAAGTTGAGGGTGCTTAGGTAAAGCCCTATAGGCCCATTCTGCAATTTTTTACGTAAAATCGCATCTCAATACAATCTTAACTACTTGTATTCTGCTACTGTATGTACCAGTGCAATTGAAGTCCACTTTTATTATATATCTGTTATAATCGATGTGTGAGAAAGACATTGTATTAGAAATTTTAGATTGTATGTAGATAGTACGTACAAGAGTTAAATGTAAGTCGTTGAAATGTTACTATTGAGATGCTATTATTACGTGAACATTAGCAGCTTGTGATTCTAAGTCGTTTTACTCTTGACAGAGTGATCGTGGTCATCAATCGGGAACAGTTTGAGTGGCAAAATCTATTATACGCCGCCATTCTTATCGATTCGCAGTCTTCCTATACAAATTATTCTAATGATTTCCATAGCTTTTAAAAAACCATCTCTATCCTCACTTCCATTAACTTAATTTTCATTTTCCCTTGTATAAATAAAAGTTTTATATTCAAAACTTCGTTTGTATTAATCGAGTTGCGTAACTTGAATTAATGAGGAAGTATTTAAAAAAACGAAAGCACTAAAAAAGCACCTCCACTAGATGGCGACTCTAGCAAAAGTTTATTTATGCAGGAAACGAATGGATCAAAGACAATAATTTCCGTTCCTTTTAACTAAAATATTAAAAAACTGAAATTCGAAAAGTTCTAAATTTAGATATCAATACAAATACGAAAGAGTACAAATAGAATATGAGTTGTTTATTGAGCTTTGAAAACTAATTTACTTTTAAACATGAAAGAAAACCGGAAGGGTTGTCATGGAGAAATCAAGAACGTACCGTAGCGACATCTAGTTTGATTTTGGGTACTAATGTTTTTTTTTAATATTCAAACTCATTGAATGAGGAAGTATTTAAAAAATAAAAATTAATTCTTGAAATCATACTAGATGTCACGGATTTTGTTTATGATATTCATTTTGTTTCTGATGTAATAAAAGTAAATTGACTATCAAGAAATAATAAATATGACATCGTTTTATGTATCTTATAATATCTTACTTTCAAATTAATTTGAATTTATTTTAATCGTAAGTTTAAGTTGTTTATTATGTTGGTTGGTTAAAGGAACGATGTTTGGTTGATACGTCAACATTAATGATGAGCCAACTTATAGGTTGCTCGTAACTTTAATCCGAATTCAGGTTTGGAATGAAGAACAAAAAGCGGAGCGCAGAATGCAGCTTGTATTTGTATGTGTTATTATCAGTGGTCGGAATTAGGTAGAATTATTCATGTACTTACACTGATTTCATACAGTGAAAGAATAAAGTGGACATGCCTCAAATCCCGAGATTAATTTTAAAGAGCAAAAAAAAATCCCGTGATTTTTTAAATAAAAAGTTATTTACTTTTACACAATTTAAATTACTGCACGCATGACGTTGCCAAACTTACATCAATGACATCGGATATCCAAAGTTGCAAAATACCAATACGCGCGATGTTGCCACATTTGTAGTTCGCACAACATAGCTTGTGAGTACAAAAGAATACAATAGCGCAAATGCGGAGCACTCCCCACTTAACGTAATGTACTAGATTGTGTCTCTTTCTATCGCATTCAAACTATCTATTAGCAATGAATCGGTTTACTCATTCACTCAGCTCATTCACTTACCTCGGTTCGTCGAATGCGCTCACTTGTTTCCTATTAAGTTTTGTGTTGTCAATCCTGTTTGACCCTGGCTCGTTTACTGGATTCTGGGCTCTACTTAATACGACTATTTCGGCACGCATTAACGGACTTTGATTTGGCCTTACTGTATTGGATAATTGGATATTTGAAATTGGTGATATACTTGGTAAGTTTCTTGTTCATATTTTTATTAAATTTCCTTTAAAATAGATTTTCCCTATGTAGAACGTTTTCTTGTATTGTTATCAAAATCGGTATTGTTTAACTTAAGATGTTCTTTGATACAATCACAATAAAGTAACAATGATTTCAAATGCTAATGTAGAAGCTTGTAGGGACATAGCAACAATGTATTTAGCTGACATAACATTTTTAGCTTGCGTCGGAGCACACTTGCTCGCGCTCACCAGTCGTTCTCCGTCACACTCGTAACTCGTAAATAACTGTTTTCAGTACGCACATAGTTTATAGACCATATAATTGTGTAATATATATAGTATACCTTTGTGTTAATGACAATATAACTTCTCAGTGATAAATCTTAGTGTTTTCATTTACAACCTTCTGAAGGAGTGATATCCGTTATAACAGGGAAAGTGAATATCTACTAATTGGACAGAACTAAAGCACACCCACATAACGGACAGTGGTGACCCCGTAAGAACACAACCGTGAGAACACAGCCGTAAGAACACTGACTTTAGGAATAGTATTATAGGGAGCGACTCACGTGCGGTACAGTTAGCGCTAGGTGTGACGGAGAACGACTGGTGAGCGCGAGCAAGTGTGCTCCGACGCAAGCTAAAAATGTTATGTCAGCTAAATACATTGTTGCTATGTCCCTACATACATCCTTCCCAAAATTTTTTGTTAATCAAAAAAAAGCTTAACATACGGGACTCGTTTTTTTAATTGATTGACTATATGGTTAACGATTGGAGTTAGATTTTCTGGTAATCTTTTATTGATTTATTTTTTTAGCTTTAAACTTTAGTATAAAACAAAGTTCGCTTCCCGCCGTCTGTATATCTGTATGAATTTATGCACGCTTAGATCTTTTAAACTTCGCAACTGTTGTGCCCTATCTCTCACATACTTACAAACACATTCATACGGTTTTCTAAAATTTATAATTTTTTTGCTCCAGATTAAAAGTATTATCATGGCGCAGAGTTCAATCCAAGAAGCCACCGTCAACAAGTGGATCAAAGATAATCCGGAGCTATTTTAAAACCATGCAAGTGGATTAATTTACTGCTCTAAATGCGAAGCACATTTGAATGCAACTCGTCAGAGTAACGTCCTAAGACATGTAGAAGGAGCAGTACATAAAGGCACGAAGAACGAGCGCCACACTCCTTTAGAATTTTACTTCGACTTAATCGAATTTATGATTCTTTGTAACATACCATGGTCCCAACTGAGCAATAATGTATTTAAAACATTTTTTCAAAAGTACATGTGTTGCAATTGCAAAAATATTGAACTACCTAGTGAATCCTTATTGAGAAAAGTTTACCTGGATCAGCTTTTTAAAATCAAAGCACAAGAGATGCAAAGTAAGATTGTAGATAAAAAGCTATGGCTTTCAGTAGACGAAACTACGGATTTCTTAGGAGGAGCTGTCGTACATTTGTTGGTGAGACCATTACAACCTAGTAGGTGCCATCAGCCTTACTTAGTGGCATGTAAAATGCTAGATACTGTAAATGGAACAACGATATCACAATTTGTTCAAGATTCTTTAAACAATATGTGGGGAAGTTCATTTGAGAGCAAACTAGATAATGTTAGAATGTTATGTACAGACAGTGTGGCATACATGATATCAGCTGGTAGAATTTTAAAATCAACTTTTCCAAAAATGTTGCATTTCATATGTTTAGCCCATGCTCTAAATCTTGTTGCGGGGCAGATTAGAAAAGAGAACCCTTATGTTGACAGTTTAATCTCAAATATGAAAAAAGTTTTTTTGAAGGCACCAAAAAGAATTAAAATCTTTAAAGAAATGTGCCCGGATTTACCTTTACCTCCTGCAACTGTAATTAACAGATGGGGTACTTGGCTTGATGCAGCATTCTATTACGCTAAGCGTTTCGATGAAATTAAATCTGTATTGTCTGTGCTGAACAGTCAAGAGGCAAAATCAATAGAGAATACTTTAAATTTTTTTAATAATAATGACAACATTAAGGATCATTTGTCTCGTATTTACGAAAATTTTTCAATTATACCAACAGCTTTGACATCATTACAGAAACCCGATCTTTCTCTAATGGAATCATTTGAAATATTTGATGCAGTGAGATTAGCTTTGAGATGGGCAAATTGTGAGAGCTTAGAATATAAAATGGAAAAAGTCATGGATAGAAATCCTGATTTGGACACTATCAGAAATATAGCAGAAAAAATGTCTTCATGCACTAATGACGAGGAGGAGGACGTGTATAAATTTGCTAACCACACCTCAGTTGACGTAGAGCGATCTTTTGCAATGTACAAATGGATTTGAAATGTTCGGAGAAATTCATTGAAGCCAAAAAATATTGAAAAGCTTATGATTATATATTTTAATTCTCACAAAAGTTATACAGTAATGTCGGAAGCGAACACTTCAAATCTTACTGGTATTCAATCGGACAAGGAAAATGATTCTGATGGGCCGTTAGAATAGGCAAAACCTCATGAATCTAGACTAGAAGCAAAAGTATTCGCTCGTATTTATAAAAAAGGCGAAATATGCGTATATTAATGTAAACTAATAAAAATTTTATGTTAATTATCTTTGTTTTATTTGTCTATCTCTGACGTTGTTATTATTATTTAGTTGTAAGATTGTTGGCCACACGGGATTGTCCATTAGAAATCCCGGGAAGGTCCACATTAATATCAACATTTCGATGCAAGTACATAAATAACTCTACCTAATTCCGACCTCTGGTCATTATGCATCCACAAAACGAATGATATAAAAATAAATATCAAAATCAATTCAGTCTATATAGGCTGTTACATAGTAATTGTGAAAGTCGAAATCTTTGCCAATGAGTTCACAAAACTCAGCAAGGGCTGCTTTTTTAATTTCAAATATACAACTCAACTATACTTTATTTGAGGGAACGTGACAACCTAACGCACACGACACCACTGCAGA